TGAAAACTCTGACCGACAAAACTGTGTGTGCGCAGAGTTGGAACGTCCTGCCGTGTACTGAGAGTCAATGTGAAACAGACACAAGTGAGGTCAGAAAGCAGCCAGCCACCTTTCTTCTCTGAATCTCCTTCCGTGCGTTCAAACCTCTGAAACCCGCCTGAAGTTTCAAGGCCGCCGCTCGGAGATCAGGGTCATTGATGTCAATGTCAAGGTCATGACCCTGATCGGGAAGACTAGCGTTAGTGTCTACCGGAGGCTACAGGAGAGGGAGGAGAGAAAGAACAACAAGCGTGAGAGTTAGGGACGAATAGGATGAATATTAGGTTTATTATTACATGAAGCAAGCAGTGTTTAGACTAATACGCGTAAAGACTACAGTGCGGTCCAAAATTCGTGGCGCAACTTATCTTCAAATTACTCTTAAACTGGTAAATCATCGTCACTCATACTTTGCACAGCAGTTTGCATCAATTTGTCTTAACTTAGTCATATAATTTTTCCACAACAATTGAGGCTAGATTGAAAAACCGTTCTTCATAAATTTATATAAAATGCTATAAATCTCCGTCACGAGGAAAATGGGATTGTTCACAGCACTTCCCGCTTCTTATACACATTTCGTATACGCATATATGGCCTACCCCACAGCTCACCAATGACACTTTTAGGGGCAAAGCCTGTTACAAGAAATTAATTTTATGGTGAATATATTTTTTGCACTAAGGATTCTCAAAACATTCGTTCAATAAGCATAAAGTCACGACTAGAAAAGAATGACGGACTTGCTTTTAAAAGCGTATATTGCCCAAGCTGTAAACTTTTTACAAGCTGTACAAACCATCGATTAGGATTTTTTAATTGGTATTTATTGAGGATTTTTTTTTTAGAAAACTGCGTTCAAGTGTTTGAAAAAAATATTCATCAGTGAAGACAAATTGATATACGTCATTGTGCAAACGATGGAGAATCTCATGTTCAATAGTTACGGAGACATTTGACAATAAGTTACGCCACGAATTTTAGACCGTACTATTGTATCTATCTCTACGACTGTCTACTCGTTGACTTGGGTGTGACAGAGTTTGCATATTTGGTGACATAACATTGCCTGGGCTATGAAGCAGATGGTTCGGTTCGAATCACAAATGCGCTTTTTTCAAAGCCCATACTTTCTAGTTTAGAGTTAGTTAAGAGTTTCACGCACTTGCAACCCAAATAGGTAGCATAAGTGCCGAAGATTAGAAGTCAGTGTTACTAGAGAGTGACATACAAAGAAAAGAAGGAGAGGAGATAAGGATGACAGATGATTGACATGAAAGAAGGAGCAGACCACACCAGAGCACCCGCCAATCACCCATGAGCCTTTACTGAACCAGACAGTTTCCACGGCTCTCCACTTACTTGCCTTTCAGAGACAAATCCAAAGTATACTGAAGTCCCACCTCTTACGTTTCAGCATTGTTCACACACAACTCAGCGGGGATTTGAACCAGGGACATCTGCCCTATAGCCCAGAACACTACAAACTGAGCTAGAGATAGCCCCATAGCTAAAGGTACCAAGTGAGCTTAAGAAAGATATTAATCATGGATGAAACATACTTTTTTTTAAAGCCATATATCCATGCGAAGACAAAGTCATCTACATCTACACACATATCGTGTTTAAACGCCGTACAGAGAAAGCATGCACTGAAATACATGTAATGTATGTCGTTGCCCAACACAGCCATTGTCATACACTATTTCGAACAACAACACTCGAAGAAAGAAGAAATGTCCATAGCTCTTGACGTTCTCTGCGAAACCTCTCAACAATAAGAAAGTAGACAAAATGAGAAGAAACAGTCTTTGCTAAGTGAAATGTTACATTCGCCTCCACAAAGCTAAGCTTAGTAACTGAGAGACAGTCAACTCAAGGCGTAAATATGGCAGTATTATGTCGTTACTATGGCGTTATTATAGCATTATTATGGCGTTATAAAGACTTTATTATCGTGCTATTATCGTGTTATCATGTTCTGGAACGAACAAGGTGACAACAACCAGGTGGCGTGTGAGGATAATGAACAACAATAAATATTATCATGACAAACTAATTACAGTTACAGCAAAACACAAAGACATTCCTCCTCCTGACCAAAGAGTTTCTCCTCAATTGTTTATCAGTCACCACAGGCAAGTGATGGGGTAAACTTTTCCTTTAAGAGCAGATATTCGTTACAGAAATTAGTTAAGTAATTAAAATGTTTCGTTTCTTTAAAAAACAGGGTGTATTTAAGTGTTAAAAGCGGTGGGGCACGAAAGAAGGCAGGCATTTGAAATTTGGAAGGAAAAGATGGAGTATGGGGACGGAAAAAAGGGAGAAGGGCAAAGGGGCGTGGGGAGGGTGGGGAGGGAGAATGCGTAACCAAAGCATTGTATAGTAGGCTTTATAACTACTGTATATGCTAATAATAGTAGCATTGTTTTATCGACTCGTTGTTGTTTTTTAGCAATAAATACCAGTGTGTGTGTGTGTGTGTGTATGAAATATAAAGAGTGCTTTCCATTTTTGTTTTGTCCGTAATATAACTTGTTATGTTAAATCCCCTTTTCTTTATCATTTATTTTGTTTTTAATACATGTATAACTATGCACATACAATGTATTCATTCTAAATCTTACATCGACTACACAGATTTAAAACAACAACAACAACAACCATCAATTGACAAAATTTTGCATGCTAGGGAACAGCCATTATAACATAAAGTTGTCGTCAAGTAACTAGATCTACTGTTCTAAAAGTGAAAACAGAAAACTTCACTGAAAGATTCAGTGCAGGCCATACATAAAACAAAATGTCTACAGAAAGTACCCGGAGACTGAAATTCTGGTGCGTGAATGCTACAGACAAACAAGCATATTATAAGCAATTAAAAAAAAGAAAGAAAAAAAGGGGTAGTGGGCAGTGGGTTGGCCCCGGGGGGGGGGGGGGCAAAACCATAGACTTGTAGTATATTCTAGACCTTTAATTCTGACATACTTCCGGTTCACCATAATGCAGGGCAAGGGTGGGTGGGTGGAAGGTGCCGAGTGTGTTTGGCCACAGCGAGACTGGAGTTATCACACTTGGGAATAACATCAATAGTTGTCGATGTCAAAGATGGATTATTTCCCCGGAAAACGAAACACTTTTGCTCTTCATTTGGGCGTCTGTAGCGCTATCGCTTCGTGATTCGTAGTGAAATTTTTATACAGCGCATATTATTGTGGCGGCTATGACAGTGCATGTTAACAAGTCTATGATTTGAAACGAAAATATTCTTTAAAAATAAAATCTTCAACTAAGGAAGGAAGGA